CACTTCTTTCTTCCCACTCTTGTGAAAACATAATCAGAAAACTGAAAGAGAGTTTGATGTTACTGAGTATCCTGGGTCACAGTTTAAAGACTCAAATATAAAACCTTCCCCATCACCTTTTAACCACAGGAATTCTATGATTTTTTGGTATGGGTTTCATGGTGATTCTTTTTAACATAACACAAAGCAATGACACACATATTTGCCTTTATTTAGACTGTAGAGGAGATCAATGTTCTAAGACAAGTATCCTTCAGGGAAAAAAAAAAAGATACGTGGGTACTTATTCCTAGGGACTGCAGTGAAGCCCAGAACACTCCAAGATAAACTAAAAGCACATCCGAGAAATGAGAAGTTATTTACTTGAGTTAGGCTTACCAAACTCTCTGTGCTGTAAATATTACTCTATGTACATGAACTCTGTAAAAATCTGTTGGACAGTTATCCCCTGACTATAAAGGATATAATAAAATTTGTGAAATGTTGGACAGACATATGAGCTCAAGTCATGCATTCCAGTTGTGCATTCTCTAGAGACAGAAGGGTATTCATAAATAATATGAATCGCTTTCTTTACAAGGTGATAAAGGTGTAATCCTCCCCATAGCCCCTGGAGGCCCATAAGGCAAGTGGCTCTTGCACTGACCCCAGGGGACTCAGCAGGATTTCCTTGGCAATTCTGGAAGAAAATCAATGAGGGGCCAAGAACACAGCATCCTCACGGACCCCAAAGCACATGACATGCATCTAAATATCCATTTACACGTCCATGCTAACAAGCGATACAAAAAGAACCACCAGTAGGTAGCTTCGGGCAACCAGATTTCATAACAGATCAGTCAGTGACAGACAATGATGAGGCATTATGCAGTATTAAAAATTACAGAAACTAGAGATGAAAAAGAACCTAATGCTTTTCTGGCTCATCTTCCACATCAAAGCATTTCCAATAGACCATGCTGTTGCTCATTTTTGGTTCAACTTACCTTAAAATGTTTAGCTTTATGGGAGTCGTGCTTTACCTAGGGAACTATTATAAAATGAAATAGAACTTACTGTCAGGAAGAATTTTCTGATATTAAAAATGAATTAAGATAGATTACTGGTAAAAATCTGTCATTTTATGCTTCAGGGCATTTTTAACAGTAAAGTGCAAAAAATGTTGGAATGTAGCAAACAAAAGCCCAAATATTGCTAATTTTTTTTTTCAATTCTGAATATTTTGCTATTTTCAGTCATGTGCAAAGCATGACTATTCATGTAATATGGAGAGTTAAACTGTAGCATTTTTTGATGCAAATAAAAGTGATTGCTGTCACAAGAATATTTAAAAAAGCTATATGAAGGACAGTCCTAGTTAAAATGCACTTCACAGTCACAAAAAGCAATCGGTTTGTGCAAAGAACATATAGAATATAGTAATAAATGCCTAATAATCAGCATATTAACAAATATTGCAGAATTATGAATACTGGAAGAGGACCTTATCAAAAAATCCTAAATATGTAATGAGACTTTGAGGTGACTACCTTTAGGATACAAAACTATAGATATTTCAGACTTCTGCACCATCAGTGACATATTACCTCTGCTACCAAACCACACTAATTTGTAACTGATCTATTCAATATAAGACAACATGATTTACTTACATGATTTTATATACATACACCTACATAAATTATATAAAAGGAATGATACAATAATTTTTATTCTCATCAGGAACAGTATTATTCTCCAACTCTGCTACTCTGTGTAAACCTAAGTATGTAGCAGCTCACAAAAAGATAAATCTCATTAGCTTTAATGGAGACATTACAGACGTGATAAAAGAAGGGCAAAGTGCTTACTCTAAGCTTCTTAAACTTTAAACTATAGGTATAATAAGTAGAGTATCCAAAACAGTTTATATAATTCTAAAAATGTGTAGATAAGAAGTTACGCAGAGAGATGCTTTCAGTGTAAAATAGCAATAGATTATTGGTATTGTTACAAAGCAGTTCATACTTGTAATTTTGTGTATAGGAAAGAAGACTTCTAGCATCACCTGCATTGCACCTTCTTATTTATCAATGTCAGACAACTCCATTTCACGGACTTATTTCCCTTCATCTTAAAAACAGAGGATTTTTTTGTCCTTGTTTTCATACAAAGTCTGTTCCCAAACACCAAATTAAAGACAATTTTTAACGACCAGAGAATGATGCATTTACATACATTTTATTCCTGAATCACTCTCTCAAATGGCTCTTTCTCTTTAAAAAGTGTCTCTCTCTTGTCCCTTTGGCGATAAAACCTCTTTGCTGTCTTTTTAGATGCCATGCTACAGATAATCTGACTTCTGTGGTAAAAACACAAGGTTTCTATGAGAGTGTGAGTCCATTTCAGCACTTGCAGACACGAAGGGGGTGAGATGGCACCGGGCACCTCCCAGCCCTGGCACACATAAGCAGGACCACTGAAAGTTCGTGGAACTACTGATGTGCCTGAGGACATGGAGACATTAACTGTGAGGTGGCCACCTCAGGCACCTACAGCACAGTAACACTTAGAAAGCCAGACCACACACGTCCCCCAAACCCTTGGCCCCCCACCACTCTGCAATTAAGCAACTGACACATGTATGGAAGCAAAGGGAGGATTTGCAGCTCCTGGGCTCTCTGTCGGCTTCGCACTGCTTTCGTGTCCCAGGGGTCAGTTCTGTAGTGCTTCCTTGTGCCCTTGTTGAGTGAGTGGATCCAGCCGCAGGCACTTGGTGTCCCTCAGAAAAGCAGGCAGGACTTCAATAAACTCTAACCAAAACATGTAGGGCAAATTCACTTTTGTGAGTCACACAGTTACAAGGAATTCTTGTCCAAGTTTACAGACTCAGTAACCACAGCTGTGAGAGATAAACAGAGCTCTTTTATTGTTTTTGATGTGCATTAGGTGCTCAGTTTACATAACAGTTTCCAAAGTAGACATTAACCTCAGAAGACCGGTAAAGCACAACCAAGAACGAAACAGTCCTCTTATGGGAAAAATATGTAATACTAATGGAATTTATTTCTCCAAGGATATATATATATATCTGACAAACAGCAAATACTTCTCTGAAGCAAAAATAGACCAAAGAACCGTAAAACTAGATACCAAAAGCAGAAAGGATGTTAGTAACCAATTCATGGAGCACTGAGTTTATGCACACATTTTTCCACGCTTATCTTCATACCAAAAAGCAGGGCAGAGTGAAGGACCCTTTCCTCAAACTACACATCACAACGTTTTTCAGTGTGTAGATAAACATGCAAAATTTCTTACAAACCATCATGAGTGAAAGTGGTCAATTAATGCAACCAAATGCATCTAAATATTCTACATATTAGGTATGTAAGTTTTCAGCACCAGAAAAAAAAAGGAAAATACAACAAAATCTACAAGAGCCTGCATGAGAATCTTCCCATACCTGACATGGCTAAGCCAGCGTTTTCCTAAGTGTGCATATACTCGAAATTTACGATGATGTCAATTTTCCTATGTGTCACAAATATTCTAAAAATAGCTACATTCACAAGCTTGCTCCCATGTGCATAGTGTAAAATATGCAGCTTTTTACCTTTGTGTTGTTGTTTTGATAACAAATTTAGTTCTTTCCCTTGGTGTTACTAAAATACTGGTGAAACTAGAATACCTCTTTGGAATCCTTGCATCTTGTCTATGTACAAACAGTGCTCCGCTACAAGATCACATGCTAAAATAAATGAGAACAACTCCACCCTTAAATCTGCATTCATTTTGGTACATCGGAGGATAAATACACTATACATTACAACTTCTTTATTCTTTTCTATAAATACTGCCATTCCAACAGGGTAGTTTATTTTATACAACTAAAATCATTTCAGGAGAAACAACATAAACATCTTAGATTTCTCACTGAAACAGTCCTAGTGGCAAAAAATATCCCTAGATCAGGCCTGGGAATTGACCCAAGACTAATGAAAGACTGTGAGCATCATCATTTTTATTCTTAAAAAAAAAAAAAAGAAGCTATCACATTAAGAAAACCCACAAAATACAATTAATTTAAGAACAGGCAGACCACAGACCTGCAAGGTGTTGTTTACTCCTATTCGAAATAATAAATTAAAATAAGCTGTGGATCTGCAAACCTCCCCATAAGAGCAATTAAGATAGAATTAGAAGGTATCAGTGCCATAAGACAGAATCAATGTACTTATCACCTATTTCATACATCAGCTTTAAAAGCTACAGGGCTCAAAATGTTATTCATAATCACATATCACCCGAAATCCTGGGCTGCTGCGTTTGGTTCTCAGAACCAAAGCTCAGGACGAAATGAGCGGGTTCGCTCCCAAGAACAAGCTCACTAGTTTTAAGGGCATCCCCACAAGTGAAGTTGCTCGTGCCCACGCCAGGGGAGGCAGAGGCTACCGGGCAGCGAGCGGGGGGACTCTGGGCTCTCGCCCTTGCTCACCTGCTCACGGAGCAGGTGGGAAGCTCCTCTGGGCAAGGCACTGGTGCCTTCGCTGCCTCCAGGGAGCCAGGCAGGAGCAGGGGTTGGGAACATGACTTGAGTCGTAGTTGAGCGCTTGCCCTGCTCATTGCTGCCCGCCGCGCAGCGCGAGTGCTGCAAGGTGCCACCACAACTCACTGCCTCTGAGCAGCCCCAAAGCAACTCACACTGTTAAAGTATTTCCTTTCTTTCGGAAACATGTTCTCTTTAACCTACTTTTTGAATTTTTGCTTAAAAGATCCATGTAGCTGCTGAGCATTCTGGATTTCCTTTTCAAAAGCCAGTCCCCAGACTGGTTCTCTGGTTATTACATACATGTAGCCCGGTCAGCTGAGCCCGCTGATCAAACACGCTTACCAACACTGATATTTCTGCAGCAAACGTCACCGTGTGTTCAATTCACTAAGTTCACACGCACACTGAAGTGAAGCAACCCTCCATTTATAACACATATAGATGTGCAAACACATATAGATGTGCATTTTTAAGCGGAGATGCCTCTGCTTCGGAATTCGCTCGCGCTGCTTTTCGTGCTACCCCCATTCCGTACGCATGCGAACTGCCCTGCGAGCAACACGCTGATGTAGCGCAGCACTTCAGTGTTCTCGCCGCGACGCCGCCGCTCCACGCCCGGTTCTAGCTCGGCAGCAGTTTGTACCCGAGCACGGCGGAACGGCCCCTCCCCGGGGCGTCCGCAGACGCGCTCCGAAGAGCCCGCTCGCCGACGCCCCCGGCCCGCGTGGCTGCCCTCGCCCACGGGATGGG